TAAGTACAGTATGCATATGAATTTAGGCCTACAGTATGCCTACACTACTTGATTAATTCAAACTTGGACTACAGACAGTACATTTGTTAAAACAGATGAGGCAGGGGGCAGGATTTAATAAGTATGGTTCCATCAACATGTTTGTATGGATGTTTAGGCCTGCAGTGACAGTATTTGATTTACAAAATTAGACTTGGGCCTATACAGTACATTCACAAGTATTTGTTCAAAAAATGAGGCTAGGGGCAGGGTTGAAGGATTTCCCTCATCCATACAAATAACAGGTTGTTTTGCAACATCCCTTTATTTTTTGTATAGGCCCCACACTCTGTAAAGTATTTTAATTGTATGGATGATACTTCAAAAACTGGCTCAAATTTGTGTGGAAAATCTCTAGGAAAATAAGTGTACAAATCGTAACTTCTGTGTAATAATACATTGGTTATATTAGGATTAGGTCAAGGCCTTTTATGCAAAACCTGTGCTGAATTTACCCTTATTTTTCCAAAATGTGCGTACAGATTTCTAGGCCTCATTTTTGGGTGGAGGATATATTCTGTGTGCAGGTGCAGGCCTTTACAGTCTGGTATAGGCCTATCTTTGGGTTTTTAGTGATCAGTGGCATATCTAGGGGATCATAGAACTGTAATTTTTTTTAATTGATACCTCAAAAACCAGCTCAATTATATGCAGAAAATCACTATGAAAATAGGTGTGCAGAATGGTAGTTACTTCATAATTACATTGTTTTAATATTAGATTAGGCCAGAGAAAGCCTATATTTCGCCAAAATCTGCGTGGAAATTGGCCCTTATTTTCCGTAATGCGCAGATGTATTTCTGAGGCCAAATTTTTGCGCAGAGGGCATAGATATTCCCTGCACAGGTCTTCACTTTACAGTCTGGTAGTAGGGGAACGCAGAGTGGGGTGCCGGTTGTTTTTAGGGGGATGCACCCCTAAGGTTAGATACACCACTGAATGAGTCTCATATATCTAACACCTTATTTGCAAGCTACCTAATTTTGTCAGGGCCTGGGCTGGGCCTAGACCTAGGTCCTAGGCTAGCCCCATTCCCCACCCCCACCAACACCGTCAGACATCTGGAGACGTCACTGTTCTGTTAGTGATGTGATACTATTCGGCCTTAGCCTAGGCTTAGTCACAGAAACACTGCTTAGGCCTATTTAAATTAATATGCGGCCTAGGACTAGGCTTGGCTACTCCGAGGCCTAGGCCTAGACGACTGACCCCCGTCTCCGACCAGCTGCTTGGTGCTGCCACATCGCAATCGTACTTGCCACATCACCGATTGACCAACTCGAACATTATGCAGTAATATCAGTTGTGATAAAAAAAAATTAACAGCTGTACAATTTCAGAATACAATCCAAAGCGACATTAAATAATAAACCATACATTAAAAAAAAAAAACAATACTTACCAATCTGTTTATCACGTAAACTCCCCATGTTCAAGTCACCTCAAACCTCCAGCTGAGCTGCAGTGCAAGTACGTCAGGGTTGCCAGATTGTCGACAGGCTTCACGGCCAAACACACGCCATCTCACGGCCAAATTCGGCCAAACTTTTTTTTGATATCGGCCAAAATTCGGGCCAGATTTTAATCCGATTAGAAGACAGTGGGTACGTTCATTTTAAATACTACAAAAATTATACGAAAATCAACGGTCATTCGTTTGAAATTGAAGAAATGCAAATGATATACACAGAACAATGTTAATAACCTATGTTGTTTAGTTGCTGGCATGGCAGGCCAATTCAGGGGAAAATCCAGAGATGTGCGAAAGGGGGAGGGCCGAGGCCGATAAAAAAAAAAAAGGGGGGGGGGGGGGGGCGAAAGTGGGTCCCATCGCGATAACACCATCTTAAAGGAAATTGTCTTTTCTAGACGCCCGAAAATAACCTGATGCGTTTGGGCGATCTATTTTTTTTTTTACCATCCCTTCCGCTTAAATCCACCTCTGCTATTTAAAATCACAATATTAAGGTTGATCTAAATTTGATTTAAATGTATTAAATATTAATGTACATTGTAGTCGATTTATAGCAAAAATTTTAAAGGCCTGTTACTGGCAAATCCGTGGCTCTTTAATTAGAGGTAATTAAGTTACATAGTTAGGTAACACAAACTGGCGTCAAAACAAACCTATGAAAACTTTAATAAATACTTTTTATCTAAACTTCTAAATTCGCCTCTGAATG